GATTCTTCTGCACGATGATGTTGATGTTCGTGCTCTTGACGTAAACATTGGATAAAATTGAAAATGTGAGGATGAGTTGGAAAAACCGAGTTCATTCTTTTATTGAATGCTTCAACGTGATTATTAGTACGTGGAAAACGTTCAATAATTTCTGAATGCATATTCCAAAGATCATAGACAAAACGAGCAGAACTATAATCAATATAGGTGGAGACTATATAATCATTAAATGTAGTACCACCACCATTATCTGGTATATAATTGTCCATCAGATCAACTCAAACATTTTGAATCAATTCTGATGGTATTAATGCTAAACCAATTGCACCATTAAACCAATAACTAGCATTTTTACGTTCTTGATCTGTTATATCATTATCATCAGGATGAATAAAATATTTAGAGAGAGAACAATCAATAATTTGCCTCCATAGACTTTGACAAAAATGAAAAAAACATGTTTTCACATGTGCACCTGGAAAAACAAGCTTAAAAGCATTTATTGCTGATTTTTCAAAATCACATGTTGAATTTGTTGGTCTCATACGTACTCCTTGTCTATTTTCACCAAGTGTTATAATATGATGAAAAAGTTTACTATAAGTTATTTGATCTTTTCTAGTAGTAAGTGCATAAACACATGGAATCATGAAACCTTCACTAAATCCACAAACAACATACACTTGTTCGAATCGAAGAGGTGTAACATTAAATGTTCTGTCAGAGTGCCACCTTGAGCACGCTGATAAAAAAAGATAAAGACCAATCAGTAGCAAAAATTAGCATTCTTTCTTGATTATTATTATCATCTAAATTAATAAAATTGTTAAATCGAAATAAACATCATCCAAATAGACTTACAGAATTCATCTATCAACAAGAATGGTTCAGCACGTAAACCTAAAGTCCATTCATAAGGAATTTTAAAATTATAGAGATCATTTGGTAATCGAGGAAAATTAAGCGCACGCTGGCGATACAATGATGAATCAACACTACGAAGATCAGGATGTGAAATACCAGTCACCATTGAAGGATTTTCAAGACGAGTTCGAATCAGCTCTTCTGTGTATATCTTTGGAATTGTTGTTGTTTCTTCTCGTGCACGTTTTTTCATTCTTTGTATTGCTTCATCAATAATTTGTTTACTAGCATATTGTTTTTCACATGAATGAGCTGAAGGTGTACGAAAGACAATCGTGTTGTTAGATGTAAGAGATAAACTACTAGAACATTTTCGCTGATGGTATCTCCACTCATTTGTTGTTGCACCTGTTCTTTTAAGAGTATATTGGTTTCTGTTGTAATTTAAAACAGGTTTATTGCGCTCCGATGTTGTAAATTGTAGCATAGTATATAGAAAATATGTATATTATTTAACAGTTAAAATTATTTATTGTCTCGGATCAATCGATCCGATATACTTGTCGTGATCGAATAACATATGGACGTCCTTATATTGTTTATTCACTGAAAAGATGGCGCTGTGCGCCATTCATAAATTCATAGAACAATAAAGCCAACAATTTTATACTAACTAACATTAGTTAAAGACAAATTAATAAGGACGAATGTGAAGGGACGAATTCGGAATTGACATTTTACGGGAGGATCTCAACGGGACGAATTCGGAATTGACATTTTTTGTGAGGACCTCAATGGGACGAATTTGGAATAAATCAACATGGGACGAATCCATTAGGGACGAATACGGTCCTAGTCGAGGCGCTCCCTCTTCATGTCCATGTTTGTTCGAAAAATAGGTTTTGACAAATACAGTTAACGTTTCTTTTTTAATCATTTTGATGAAACAAAAAACAGTTAGTTTTTTTTGATTATTCTCATTCTAATTAGAATTTTGATGTGAAGATTAACTTTGAGAACAGAACTCTTCTTTAGAAACAGATAGAGCGTGAAAATCTCAATTGTGTGGTCTACTTTTTTTTTTCATTTTAATACAGATCTGTTGGTTATAAAATGTCAAAAACTGGAAATGACTAAAACTTATTTTCGCTGGGAATAGATTATTTCAATTATGAAAAACTTATATAGAGGGATGGAGTTCTCTCCAAGACTACATTATGTAGTCGCCCTCTCTTACTATATATATCATCACTTGAATCAGATGAGTATCTCTTCATACGAAAGTAAAATTGAAACAACAGATATGTACAGCAGAGATGTACCCAAAAATTTTCGAGTAGTGGATAGCAATGGATAATTGAAAACTCTAGCCCACTATAGTTTCTTAGAAACTTATTCCGACTATAATAGCCAATGTTTAATGAATAGACACTTGCCATCCACAATTACTAAGCACGCGAACTCGCTTTCTTTCTACTATTTTACCAATTTACTCTTCAACTTTCAAATATTTGATTATTTTGTTTTAAAGCAGCCTGAATAAACAATAAATAGAATGAAATCATGTCATAAGTTACACATGAAAGATTTTAGCTTATGAGAAAACCTCTTCTGATGCTAAATAGATCCTGAGTTTAAATGTTGCCTTCAGATAAAGAATATATAGACTAGAAAAATTCTAAGAGGAGATTAATTCAAGTTGTGATTTGACTCAGATATCGTTCTTTTACTATAATTTTTCTCTGGGGCTCTACTCTTCCGATGAAATCAAAGTTTCGAGTTATGACTTGAAACTTTGATTTTACCGCAAAAATGTGGTCCTACAGGAAGATCGTAGTAAAAGAACGATGTCTAAACCAAATTACAAGTTGAAAATATATCCTATTAGGATTTCTTCTAATCTATATATTCTCTATCTTTGGATAAAACTTGAGCTCAGAAGCTTTTCAGCATTTGAAGAGATTCTCTCCTTAAATAGCTTTAGTCATTTCTGTTCAATACAATTTTACATTCTTAGAAAAGTCATTCAGCATTCTTTCACATTTCTCATTAGTGAATTTCAGTTCAGTAGTGAGTATTTTCACGAAAACTACCATTGGATCGTCACTATTGTGATCATTGATTCAATGAAAAAGATTGTAGAGTGATCTTTCTAAATCACTTATATAATTAGATCTCATTAAGATAAAGTATATGGAATTTACATAACTTCATTCTTCAAATATGTATAGCTATTAAGATTTTTTGACATTCGCCAATTACCATCGTCTCAATAGAATTCATGGACAATAGAATTTATATTAGCAGTCATTTGCCACCTTCTGGTTACGTCACCCGATGGATAAAACACATTGAAAGAAACAAATTTGCTGAAACTTTTCTCCCCGACTCTATTCTTCATATTAAATACAAATGTAATTTTCTACAGAATATTAAATAATCTTCTTCTTGCTTCATTGTTTTTTCAAGAAACATATTCTAATATATCCTGAGTTCTACATCTTTTAGTATTCATTTATTTACCTTTGTTCGTATCCAGAGAGGTAAGGATTGTTTTTTGTGATATTTCAAGATGAATGATTGATTTATCTATATAGATATGCTTTAGAAAATGATTCAATATCAATAGACTTATTTGTTGAGTCTTTATTAAGATTTATTTTCATCTTAGAATAATTTATATTAACAAGAAAATTTTACCATTGAGAATAGAAGTATATATTGAGAACGACAGTTTATTTGTTGCTCTCTTATATATCATTTCAAATATCATTATTTGCCTTATCTTTGCTCAGAATGATAATATTCAAATAAAATCTTCCATTATTATCTGCTTAGCTTTCATATAAGACAAAGAAAATTGAAATGTACACAGTTTTTATTTAGTGTAATCAAATTTGAAGCTTCACTAAGAGACAAAAAAAGAACAGAAAAAAAGTAGGTAATGCATGCTTTACATGAATAAATAATACACAAAATTGATTGTTGAAATAAAATGAACGAGAAAGTTCATTGAATTGTGTATTTTTGTCAATTATGTTTATTGACGTTGTTGATTGTTGCCAGCACCACCTTGTTGTGGGTTTTGTTGGTTTTGTTGTTGATTTTGTTGATTTTGTTGATTTTGTTGGTTTTGTTGTTGTTTGTTTTGTTGATTTTGTTGTTGTCCAGCTTGAATAAACAAAACAAAAGATATTATATATTATTCTTCTCTATGAATAAAATCGATTTTGATCTGAATTCTTTAAAGAAAAAATGATCACTTGAATGATGTTGAAAAAACTTTTTCGGATATATTTGATAGTTTTCCAAAAAATAAAAACTCAACTTTCTCATTGTTTTGCTTTCACTAGTTTTTCTCCTCAATCATACTCAATAGAAAAAAATATATTAATATGTTCTCTCTTGACTTAACTAAGACTTTAAATTGAAGTTTTAGAATAAAAATAAAATAATGAATTTATTCATACCAAGATTTTGTGCAGCTTGATTTGAACCAGCACCTCCTAATTGTTGATTTTGATTTTGATTTTGATTTTGTTGATTTTGATTTTGTTGATTTTGGTTTTGATTTTTTTGATTTTGTTGATTAGCATTTTGTTGTTGATTGGATGACATTGTAAATGTTTTTATTCACAAGAGAAAATAAGTGTTTGTAGTTTGTTTGAAAGTTTTGTATGTCAAATAGCGTTGAAGGTGCGTCTTATATAGGTAGGATACTGCGCAATTTTTAAATTGATTATCTTCAGTACATAAATTTCTCAATCGCAATAGAGAGAACGAAGAAAAAGAAAAAGAACAAAAACAGAAAAGAAAAAGGCAAAGGCCTTTTTGTCGACGCAATTTCTCTTATACTGGATTTTTTTTTGTCAGAGAGGTTATTCTCTTCTATTTATTTTTGATATAATAATAAGAGAGGTGAATGAGAATAGATGTACGTACTTTTTTCTATTTCGACCTTGTACTTCTAGAAATATAACCTATTTACGTAGAACAATTTTATTTTGATTTTATTCAACATTGTCATTTGTAACTATTCCTTTACCCGCACAGTAGTTCGAGAATATCATGATGAAGCAATCAAGGCAAACATAATATAGGTCACCCTGGTATCTCAATAATATGGACAAATGGCCTTGTAATATTCCTCTTGTTCGAGTTACAATATGCAATAAAAATAATGTAGATAGAAGTATTGAAACTTGAAATTTTTTAAAATTTCACAAGATTACTACACATATTTACTTCATTTGTCAATGGAAGTAAATGATTATAACAGTTCTTTCTAACTTATAAGATCATATATATTATTGAAAATAACTTATTCAGAAGAGAGTTCATGAGAATTGTCGAACATGTTTATTTTTAGCATTTTCTAACTTGTCTCTGAAAATCTATGAAACAAAATCTAAGTAGACCTTCAATTAATCTTTTCAAAACAATGTTTCTTTTCATTAGTCTCAGCATTTAATCATTTTCTTCATAATATTTCATTTGACATAAATAATTTAACTTAATAAAAATATACATATGTACATCTCTTCAACCATTATTATATAAGAAGATAGAGCACAAAACTAAGTTGCCATATTATCTTTTCTTTTTTTCTTTTAGTATATACTTGATTTCTGTATTAAATTGAACAAGTCCAAAAATATTTATATAAATATTGATAGAGCTGAAAAAGAGAATATCTAAGTAAGAGTTAGTCCTTTTCTGATGCATACAAGACATTGGATCGCTTTGTCAATAATTGATTTTTTATATATTTTTCATTATGTTTTTTTGCATATTTTTATTTTAATGTTTGTTCAAATTTGGAATTTCATTTCGATTCATTTCTTTGCATTCAAAACTGTATGAGATTAGCTATTAAAATGATTTTCGAATTCATCTATGTCGGAGACTGAAATCGATCGAAAGGAGATGATTTTATTCGGTTTATTCACTTGATCACAAACTAATTCAAAAGAAAAAAAGAAATGATCAAAACGAGAACAAATTGAAATATACTCAATTAGAGTTTGATAATTATGAATAAAATACAAGTCATCTATTATCTTTTCAAGGAAAAGAAATAGGATACAATATTAAGTATTATCATTCCATCTTTTGTTGAATCACAATTGTTATTATCCAATTTGTGCCAGCATTGAGTTATAGGTCAAGCAGAATGATATCGAATAGAAAAGATCGAATAAAAATTGGTTTTGTATAAAAATGTAACTTAGTGACATGCATTTTTGTTATATATTGTTGTTTTTTCTTTTCTTTCTGCTGTTTGACTTGTTCTGATGACTCATGACACGTTGATGTATCTATGTTCTCTTTCAAGTAATGACTTATCTTGTTGGTTTCTTTGGATCTCTATATTCTCTTTCGGTTTCTGTTTTTCTCAAGTCAGTAAAACAAGTTATTCATCTTAATCTCGCCATTGTCGATTACGCACTTCGTAATATGTGAGAGAAAAACAGATAAAAAAATCCGGAACAAAACAGTAATGACTGGAAATTTCAGGTGTAAATTTACATTTGGCACTGAATAAATTGACTTAATAATATTAGATGAAACTAGGTAATTGACTCAAATAAATTATAGAGAGACTAAAGCTATGTTTTGAAAACAAAGTAACTTATAAATATATATGAATATATTCTAAGAACTTGGAAAATAATCTATTTATACTTTATAGATTGATAAATCGAGTAAAATAACGGTTAATGTGAAAACTTTTAGTTTTATAATCATTTATGTATTATTATTGATTTTTCTTCTTTGTATATATAATTCGATGAATTAATTTTTTTTATTATTAATAGAAGTTTCATGTTATTTGGATTTTCTCCTTTTGATTAATTGTTAATGTTGCCATAAGATAAACATGAAACTTAATAAATAAATAGATGTTATTCAATATTAGGTCGATAAGTAGATTTATGCTCTGTGCTAAGGAAGAAAGAGAAAATATATATTTCTATTTTTTTTCCTTTCATTTTTTCAAAGGAAAAAGTGACATGGAATGTTAGAACATATGATTTGTTGGTTGAAGGGCAAAAGAACGAATAGAAACAATAATGTTATTGTACATTTAAATTGTATTCTACTTTTGTTACTTGTAAACATGAAACAAGGAAAAACTGGATAATCTATAAGTTTAATCAGATTTTATATAAAAATGCTTCATGTAAATTTATTATTGGAATATAAACTTATTTATATTAAATAGAATTTGATATATTCTGATATTTTTTTAAAATAAACAACTATTTTATTTGTTTTATCAAAAATAAATCAACTAGATTTAACATTTGTTGAGAAAAGAAGAATATTTAGATTTTGATTTGTTTGAAGAAAATAAAGAGAGAGAAATCTGTTTTGTAGTATTATGTTTAAGTGGCAATTGCCTCAGATCTAACAAAGTTTTCGAAGTTATATGAAATTCTTGGATAGTATGAGAAATTAAAATGTTTGAAACGAATAGTTTTTGATAAAGATTTTACAAGATAGAAATACTGTTGTTTGACTTTGACTATTGATAAAATAGAGAAATTGTATTTGACTGAATTGAAAATAGTGCTTATAATGTGTTAGAATAGGAAGTATTTTCGAATGTTGAGATAATGTTTCCTTGTGTTTTTCCAGACATTCTATTATAATTATAGATAAATGTGCTTCTCTGTTCAATACTGGCAAATTAATCGATCATATTTGTTGTGTACGAAAGGAATCTAGGTCATCAAACCCTTTTATGTTACATTTTCCAGTTATTGTTAAGAATAATTTCAATCAGCAATTTGAGTTTTGAGGTTTTGACTACTCGTAAAAACTGCAGAGAAACAAAATTCAATACCCTATTTAGATGAACTCTCCTAGACCTGTCCTAATGACGCCACTAATTATTAAATTTGGGAAAGACATCTGGGACTAGTGCCCGGTGTGACCATAAAACGGTGACTAAAGAAAAAAAGATTATTCGCTAGTAATGTACATGTTGAATATGACAAAAATACTTTTGACTTGATTCTTCGTATTCAGAATTTTCTTCTCTACAAAATGATGTATGAAACTTGAGGATTCAAAAATCTATAGACGAGAAAACAATGATACATTTGTCGTGACCAGTTCTAGTCACTGTCAGTCACGGAAGTTTCTGGTCACGACAAATATGTCGTTGTTTTCTCTTCTATAGATCATTTTACTCTCAACTATTATATATCATTTTAAAGGAGAGAAAATTCTGAATACAAAGAGTTAAATCAAAAGTATTTTTGTCACATTCAACATGAAAATTACTATCGGACAACTATTTTTTCTTTAGTCACGGTTTTATGGTCACGTCGGGCACTATCTGGGACACATGAAAACTTACTTTTTGATCTTTAATACAAGGATAATTCTTGAAGAAGTCAATATTTTGAGCTGAAATTTTTATTATAAGTTTTCTAAACCCAAACAAATCTCTCGTGAAAACTTCAACAAGATCAGTTGTTATGGAATGAAAATACATATTTAACAGGAGAGCTTAAATAGTCAACGTGAGTCGTATCATTTTTCATATAAACCTCAGATCCAAAATTTATTCTTTATTTATATCTTGTTATATTGTGAAAAACATGATGTCAGAAGGAGCTAATATTAGGTAACGAGAATTTTTTTGAAACTCGACAAATAAAACTATAGTAGAAATTCTGAAACTCTTACGAGAACGAGAACAAAAATTTTTCTATAGGACCAAGAATATGGAAATGGAAACAAAAAATTATTTTGTACAAGAATTGGAAAGGGAATGGAAACCGAGAAAAACTGTTCCAGCAAGACACTAATTTTAGGTTCTAATATTAGAGACTTTTCTCATCCATCTTTTTGAAAAATATGTTTTGACAAATACAATTAACTTTTCTTTTTCAATTATTTTGATCAAAAAGAAGTTCAGTTTCTTTATTGGGTGATTCTCGTTAGAATGAGATTGTTGGTGTGAACACAAACTTTGAGAACGAAACTTTTCTTTAGAAACAGAGAGAACGTAAAATTCTCTATTGTTTGGTCTAATTTTTTTTCGGTTTTAATACAAATCTCTTGGTTATGAAATATATATAATTATCCATAAAGTTAGTGTAACTCATATTTTATGAAATCATATGATAACAAGTACTGCATTTATTCAGTGTAATGATCTTCGCTTGGAATCACACGTTATCAATGGTCATGGAAACTGTTTATGCTATTAGAAACGTTGAATAAATGCAGCATTTGTTATCTTATGGTTTCATAGAATATGAGTTGTACAAATTTTTTGAACAACCAGATAAAATATTGGGAACTATTAAAACTTATTTTTGCTTGGAAAAAATTATTTTAATTATAAAAAATCTAAATAAACAGATGGAGTCCTTTCAATACTACACCATGTAGTCGGCCTGTCTTACTATATATGTCACCAGTTGAATCCAATCAGTATTTCTTCATGTGAAACAAAAATTGAAAAAGTAGATGTGTGAAAATAAAATTGAGAGAAAGAAATTCGCTTAAACGTTTATTGTCGACAATATTCTTCATATCGAATATAGACACAAGTTTTTTTTTTTAAATAGAATCTCAAATAATCTTTCTCTGTCGTCATTTTTGTTTTTCAAGAAAGATCTTCTAATATATAGTGAGTTTTTCTTTTTTTTACTTATTTAATTATTTATCTTTCTTCGTATTCAGAGAGGTAGGGATTGTTTTTTGTGAAATTTCAAATTTCATCATTTATTTATTTATATAGATATGCTTTAAAAATGATTCAATATCAATAGATTTATTTATTTTGTCTTTATAAAGACTTATTTTCATTTTAGGATAATTTGTGTTGATTAGACATTTACCCAGCAAATGCAAGAACGATTATACAATTATCCTATAAGGGATGAATCTTTCCAGTTTTTTTCTTGTTTGGAAGTCTTTTTCTAACCTCTATAAAACAAAGATTATCTTCAGATATAGTCTAAAAATTAGTTTTGAATGATAAGGAAGACTTTAAGCTATCAATTGGTAAAATATTGAAGAAAAACAAATATCAATCGCTCAAAAATTAGAACTTTAAAAATATACCAAAAATTGTTGAGAATATACATTTCTCCCAGCGATATCAACAAGATTATATATTTGATCCAAATGGGGTAAATATATAATTGCAAAGCACTGTTTAAAGAACACCTTGTAGATAGATATAATCAGCAGATTGTGAGAAAACTTTTTTCATCAAGCAATAGAGTATGAAAGGAGGTAGGTGTCTTATTAAGAAAATTTTTAAAAAAAGCATTTTAGTGCAGCTTCTTTAGAGGTGACATGTGGAACTCACATATATTCTTATATCTTAATATTCTAATGCATTATATTTAAACTGAAAAATTTCCTGTACACTGTAGTTGTTTTCATTGATAATCAATAACAAGAGCGAGACTTTGTTATTTATTTCTACATATAAAAAAGAAAACATTTTTTGTTTGAGAGCGCCCTATTTTTATTTTGCATTGTTGTTATTTGCTCATTATCTTTCATTTTTTTTAATTACTGTTTCTTAATTTAACATTATTATTATTATAATCATTGAATTAATTGGGAAATATGTGTGTTTTATATATCAGTTATATCTACAATAGATCAAGTCTGATGCCTGTTATTCTAAATTCCTAAGATCTGTAATGGAGAGTATCTGTAATTAGGGGACCTGTCTGCAATGGGACCCCACGTTACTATGTGTCTGTAAGGGAAGGGGGAGCTGCATAAACTTGAACTTAAAACTTACACTCATTATTTTCTTCGAAAATATATGTAAATTCCACAAAAATGAAAAGTAAAACAGTTATAAGTATTTTGCTAAACACCACTGGTTACCTTTATATTTTTACTTCTGCTTATTCTATATGTTAAGAACAACAGCATACTTTTTCCTCTCTTATATATCATTTCAAATATCATTATTTGTCTTATCTTTGTTCAGAATGATAACACTCAAATAGAATCTTCCATTATTTTCTGCTTAATTTTGATACAAGACAAAAGAAATTGACATATACACATTTTTATTCAGTGTAATCAAATTTGAAGCTTCACTAAGTGACAAAAAATGAACAGAAAAAGCATAAGTAATGCATGCATTACATGAATAAATAATACAATAAATTGATTGTTGAAATGAAATAAAAGAGAAAATTTATAGGCTTGTGCATATTTATCAATAATATTTATTGACGTTGTTGGTTGTTGCCAGCAGCACCTTGTTGATTTTGTTGTTGATTTTGTTGTTGTGGGTTTTGTTGATTTTGTTGATTTTGTTGTTGTTGTCCAGCTGGAATAGATAAAACAAAAGAGATTATATAATTTTCTGTTCTATAAATAAAATCGATTTTGATCTGAATTCTTTAAAGAAAAAATTATCACTTGAATGATGTTGAAATAACTTTTTCGGATATGTTTGATAGTTTTCCAAACAATAAAAACTCAACTTTCTCATTGTTTTGCGTTCACTAGTATTTCTACTCAATTCTATTCGATACATAAAAAATATATTAATATGTTCTCTCTTGACTTAACTAACACTTTCAATTGAAGTCTTAGAATAAAAATAAAATAATGAATCTATTCGTACCACGATTAGAATTTTGTGCAGCTTGATTTGAACCAGCACCTCCTAATTGTTGTGCAGCATTTTGATTTTGATTTTGGTTTTGTTGATTTTGGTTTTGGTTTTGTTGATTTTGATTTTGATTTTGTTGATTTTGATTGGCATTTTGTTGTTGATTGGATGACATTGTAAATGTTTTTATTCACAAGAGAAAATAATTGTTTGTAGCTTGTTTGAAAGTTTTGTGTGTCAAATAGCGTTGAAGGTGCGTCTTATATAGGTAGGATACTGCGCAATTGTTAAATTGATTATCTTCAGTAAATATATTTCTCAATCGCAATAGAGAGAAGGAAGAAAGAGAAAAGAAAAAGAAAAAGAAAAAGGTTTTTTTATGGACGCAATTTCTCTTGTACTTGATATGTTTTTGTCAGAAAGATGATTCAGTTCTATTTATTTTGGTTATCATAATAAAAGAGGTAAATGAGAATCGTTATTCGTTCTTTTCCTATTTCGACCTTGTACTTCTAGAAATCTGACCTATTGACATAGAACAATCTTATTTTAGTTTTATTCAACATCGTCATTTCTAATTATTCTTTTACCTTCACAGTGGTTCTAAAATATCTTGATGAAGAAACCAAAGCAAACATAATATAGGTCACCCTGGCATCTCAATAATATGGGCAAATGGTCTTGTAATATTTCTCTTGTTCGGGTTACAATATGCAATAGAAATAATATTGATAAAAGTATTGAAATTTTAATTTTTTTGAAATTTTACAAGATTACTACACAAAGCCACTTCATTTGCCAATGGGAGTAAAAGATTATAACAGTTCTTTTGAACTTATAAAAAAAATATATATATTATTGAAAATGATATATTTAGAAAACAGTTAATAAGAGCTGTCGAATATGCTTTGACATGATTATATTCTCAAAAATATTGACATTTATATTTTTGTTAAATGACAAATGAAAAAGCATCATCAAATATTTCTCAATTCAAGTTTTTTCAGTTTTTTCTAATTTATCTCTGAAAATTAATGAAACAAACTCTGAGTAAATCTTCAACTAATCTTTTCAAAACAATATTTTTCATTAGTTTCAGTGTTTAATCACTTGCTTCATAATGTTTTATTTGATAGAAATAATGTAAC